TGATGATGTGTATGCATGAGATTGACATGAAAAGGATGTGTTATGTGAATGACATGAGTACGTGATAAGTTTATGAGATGAAATTACATATATAGTTTTGTATGTATGACATGTATCATGTGTATAAAATATTTTATAATCGCCCATGAGAAATAACCGTACATGAGTATTAGCCTTTGAACAACCGTACATGAGTATTAATTGCACATGAGTATTAACCGTACTAGAGTAATAACCTTCAATTAGCCACACATGAGTATTCACCTTCAAACAATCTTATATGAGTATTATCCTTCAAGTGTGTAAATTGTAATTACTTATGATTATGTGTTTGATATGTCTTTGTTGTAACTAATGACTCTGATATATTGTTTTTATGTATGTTTTGCAAGAGGCCATTAGGGTGATGATAAATAATGCTAATGTTGAGGCTTAGACTTTAGCATGTTTACGGATGAAGCTTTGATAAGATGTGATATCGGAGTTCATAGATTGAGATTTGTTATTTTGTTTACTTAGTTTATTTCATTTTGTTTGGAAACAATATTAGTCTTTCTTAGAATAGTGAATTTAAGCCTAACTCAACCCTACAAAACTGACTTGTAAGGTGAGGGTTGTTATTCACTTATATACTATTTAATTGTCTAATCTCTAGTCAATGTGGGACTTAGATTTTTCTCAATAGTCCTTAAATTCATGTATTATTTTTAGATGACCAATGTGGTATAGTAATTTTTTTGGAGACATTTATGTTTTAAATTTGTTCTGTTTTGAACCAAATGTGAATCCTTTATTATTATAAGTGTTTTATGAACTATTTAATTATTTTAAATAAAGTTTTACTCAGGTAATATTCTTTTGTTTCATTAATATTTGTATTAGTATATGGGATAGAAGATGTTACAATGACAAATTAAGATAGTACTCTTGCAACATTAGTTGGTCTACTATGATGTTTTCACTGATAATGATACTAATAAAAGAATTTTGTGCAATAAATTAATTAATAAGAATTAAAATAATAATTTTTTATATTTTAAACTAAGACATGTTTTAAATTTAAAAGACCAAAAAGATAAATTTTAAATTTGAGTGACAAAATAATACTTGTTCATATTTTAGGGACTAAAACCAAAACTTCTAAATTTTAGAAGAAAAAAAATACATACTTCAAATTTAAATGACTAAAAACATAATTAAAACATATTTATTAAAAATAAAAAAAAAAAGAAGAGAGAAGACCGACTGAAATAATTTAAAAATTGTTGACAATATAGAGAAAAGATAATTTTCGTATCTAAAACCATAAGATTTTACTAATCTTTGACATAATCTCTCTATTTGAAATCGAAGGGTGCATGCGCGCTGTCTAGCTGGAAAATAGATACTGATCTAACCTATCTTCTCCAAAAGATTTTTCTACAAAGCGTGCGTTATCAGAAATAAAAGTCAAATTCCTCATTCTAAGTAGCTCTTACTTTTTCTTTAATTACTATTCTAATTTGTGTACAACGTGATGAATATTTATAATCATAAAAAAAATATAAAATAATTATTCGTGTTTAATATATAATAATTAATTTTAAATAATTACTTGATTATTACTTTATCAAAATCATGCAGCTACCATGGAAAATAGTCCACTAATATGCCCCAGGCATATTTGCTAATTAAATCTCTTATATTATTTTAATTATGAGAACTTAGGTAATACATTGAAGTTGGATAGTCCCAGAGACGGTGATCATAATGATTTTTAAAGAAAGAGCAAATATTATTAATAGTTTCCATTTCTCATGTGAGAAATTTTTCATTTGATTTGAATGCTAATATATATTAATTTGAACTACATGATTTTTTATTTAATGTTTTAATTTTTGACTGTTTAATTAGTGCGTTTATTATTGCCACATTTTTTTTAAAAAAATTTTTCTACAGAAAATAAATGTGATTTACCCTTGGAAATTGGAATGCTAATTTTTATATCTATGAATGTTGTCAACCATTGAATATGAATATCAACATATATTTTTTCACATTCACATATCTAAAATTAAACTAGATTTGGTTATATTGTATTCGATCAAATAATTAACCAGGTTTTATTTTGGAAAATTCAAATATAAAAAAGAAGTTTTTTTTTATATTATATTATCTGTGCAAAACATTATTAACTTTTTTGATAATTAATTTTGTTAAAAAATTTAAAAAAACATATTTTTATCTTTTATCTTATTTTTTTAGATTTATTTTGATTGTTTATCTATTAAAATATTTATTTTGATTATTTATATGTAATTATATTTGGATCAATGTAATCTTTTTTAAAAGTAATCATTTTCACTCTTATAATTTTAACTTAATTTTTGACTGAGTTAAGATATAAAACTTGTAACAATAGATTTACCTATAAGAAAATCATGAAATTCAATTATTATTTGAATCCAAAAATTATAAATATAGTAAAAATTGTATATAAAATTTATTTCACAAATAACTATAAAATAATATGAAATTAATTTTTTTTTAATGTTTTTAGGACTTACGTTTATGAAAATTTCACCATGTTTACAAAACTTTTTTATTTAAACTTTAACTTTTTAAATTTTTTTTTATATAAGTGAAGAGACATTTCAAATTTTGTATTAGTCAAAAATTGTGAGATCCTCCCTTTCTGTTTTTTCCTTTTTCTTCCCGGATCCTCACTCACTCTCTACCCTTACTTTCTTTTTCTCTCTACTCCTCTCCCCTTTCTCTTGAACTTGCTGACTCTTGTGGGAACCTTGGTTGAAGGTGCTGAATCGTAGTGGGAGGCTAGCTGAAGTTCTCCATCCCCATTTCTCTCCATTCAAGCTTGCTCCTATCTTCTTCTTCGTTTTCTTATTCCCAGAGTACGGAATCTTCTTCCAAGGTAAGGGAAGTTAGTTTTGTTGTAGATTTTGGTTGAGAATAGGTTGTTGCAATTTCTTTAGCTGTTGAAGTTGGTTGATATTTGATAATTTTGTTGAAATGCTGAAATTGGAAGTTTTAGGGTTCTTTGAGGGTTTGACAAATTTTGGGTCTTTTGACAGTTGATGATTGCATGTGTGAAAAGTTTAAGTTTTTGAATTCTTGGTAGAAAATGTGAACTGTTGGCTAGATTGCTGGTTAGATTTTCTGGATATTTTGCAGGATTTGGTGAAGTTTTTTGAACTTGATGGGTTGCTAATGAGCCTCGCACTGAGCGCGGTTCTTCGCGTCGGGCGCAAGACCACCTGGAGGCTCCATTTGACAAGCCCGCCGCGCGCAAAGATGCGTGCGCCGGGCGAGCTTGAGAATGTGAGCCTCTGGTTGGTCCACGCCGGGCGGGTCAGGGATCGCGCCAAGCGCGCAGGCAATGTTTTGGATGTGGTGCTGCGCTGAGCGCGACCCTAGTCGCGCTGGGCGTGAGACTCCTTGGGAGTCTCTGCCAGACGGGCGCTGGGCGCAATTCCAGTTGCTCTGGGCACGAGACCTAAGGGAGGTCTCTGCCTTCCTTATTCGGCGCGGGCCTAGGTTCGTTGGGCGCGTGAAACTCCATGGAGTCTCTGCCTGGCCAGCGCTGGGCGCAATTCTAAATTGCGCCAGGCGCGTGAGGCGTCACGCCGGGCGCGAACCGTCTTGCACTGGGCGTGTTGGCCCCTGGTGCTCTCTGGTTGCCTTGCGCTGGGCGCAACCATGAGTGCGCCGGGCGCGTGACTGAGGTTTTATTATATGCTGGTTAATGTTGTTCCATGCTGAGATGAGTCGAAAATGGATGTATATGATGTGATGACTAATAGAGAACGCTGTTGTAGATGTTGAGTTGTATCCGGTGAATGTTGTTGTAAGTTGTGTTGACTCGTTGTAAGAGGAGGTGTTGTGCTGTAAATTAGTGTAGTGTTGTATGATGGTTGAGTTGTTGTAGGCCTTAATGGCTGAGTTGTTGTAGGCCTTAATGGCTGAGTTGTTGTAGGCCATAATGGCTGAGTTGATGTAGGCCGAAAGGCTAAGTTGTTGTAGGAGATCTCCGAGTTGATATGCGTGACGATGCATTGTATGCTTATTGATGATCATGTTGAGAAACCGACGAGATGTATGTTGATGAAGTGTTGATAGTTGTAGTTGCTTATATTTCTTAAACCTTTCTATATGTTGTTTCTTTTATGCTAGCTTACCCTTTTGTTGTTTCCATGTGGTTGGACTGCAATGATCATACTATGTATAGGAGCAGAGCAGGGATAGGCGGTGTATCGGTAGCTGGCAGGTGGAGCTGACTCTTTTTGATGTTTTGTTTGTTTCAGTCACTTGGCATAGTGGCTTTTGATGTAATTTTTGTATTGTACGCCCTAACTGTAGTCGGATTCGGGACATCTGTATATATTTATATTCTAGATCCTATATTTATATACTTGTTCTATTCTGTCTAGTGTTTCCGGTGTGCTATGGTTGTGAATGTAGTGGCCAACCGGGTCGTTACACTTTAGTGGTATCAGAGCAGGTCGAGTCTGGTGGACCCTCTTTGGTGGTGGTTCCTTTAGACTTTTGTTGTGTTAACTCTGTGTTGTGCTGTCCTGTTGTGTTGTTGCTGTGATGAATTGTTGTGTTGTTAATTGTTGATTTGGTTGAGTGGGAGTAAACTAAATATGTTGTTATTTTTGTAGACGATGACTAGAACCAATGAACAGATAGCCCGTGCCATAGAGATGATGGCTATGGCTATGCAACAACATAATGCTTAATTTGTTAGGATGAAGGCTGAAAGAGTTGAAGCTGGTGCAGCAAGGCCCACGGGGTCACAGGAGAGCCGAGACCTAGCTGAGTTCCGGAAGTGTCATCCTCCACAGTTCGCGAGAGATGCAGATCCAGAGGCAGCTGACCGCTGGATATGTGAGTTGGAGAAGATTTTTGCCGTTCTAGGATGTTCTCCAGAAAAGAGGTTGGCATATGCGGTGTATATGCTTGTGGGAGAGGCCGAGCATTGGTGGAGGGGCACATATTAGATGCTTGTGGCGAGAGGAGTTACAGTTGATTGGGATTGCTTTCGGACGGTGTTTATGGAGAAGTATTTCCCGGAGAGCGTGAGACATGCCAAGGAGGCTGAGTTCATGCAGTTGCACCAGGGAGGGCTGTCTGTATCGAAGTATGCAATGAGGTTCGAGCACTTGGCTCGTTTTTATTCACAGGCTATTTCTGAGGCCTGGAAGTGCAGAAAGTTTGCTGAGGGTTTGAAGTATGAGCTAAAGAAGGTGGTGGTGCCTATGGCCATCACCGAGTTTCTAGCCTTGGTAGAGAAGGCGAAGATTGTGGAGAGGTTAGAAGGGGGTGACCGTGTGATCAGATCTATTGAGGGACCGGCTGGGTCCAAGAGGGGAGCTGGAAGTCAGAGGAAGCCGTATGATAGGCCCCCACCACAACAAGGGGGTCCTGTCATTAGGCAACCTGCTGAGACTACCAGAGGAGGAGGACAGGGTGGAGGTGATGCCCTTAGGTGTTACAGGTGTGGTGGATCCCATTTGATCAGGGATTGTCCACACACCGAGAGCAGATATTTCAGATGTCAGCAGATGGGTCATGTGTCTTTCAACTGTCCCACCAGGAGTAGACAGGAGAGGAGTACTCAGAGGAGTGAGGCACAGAGAGCTGATACTCAGAGGAGTAGTATGCAGAGGACTGAGACTCAAAGGGGTGACAGACCCACTACAACTGGTAGGGTGTTCGCTTTGACGGGTGTTGAGGCTTCGACTTCTTCTGACCTAGTGAAGGGGAAGGGTAAGGCTGCTGGTAAGGATGTGATGCTTTTGTTTGACTCTGGAGCTTCCCATTTGTTTATTTCCTATGCGTGTGTTGCTATGCTGGGTGTGCCTGTGTGTGACTTGGGGTTGAGACTGCTAGTGTCGACGCCCGCATCTGCTTCAGTAGTTGCTTCTGAGCTGTGTGCTAACTGTCCTATTGTTGTCAATGGGAAGAAGTACAAGGTAAACTTGATTTGTTTGCCTTTGGTGGATATTGACATAATCTTAGGGATGGATTGGTTATCTGCCAATCGTATACTTATAGATTGTGCCAATAGGCGGTTAATCTTTCCACAGGAAGAGGATGAGTAGTTGATTTCAGCTGGCCAAGCTGAATCCTTGCTGAGAGACGGTGCGGAGTGTTACCTTCTGCTTGCTATGATGAGTGTGGAGACTGAGAGAGTTATCTTTGAGATAGATGTGGTGAGAGACTTTGCTGAAGTGTTTCCTGATGAGGTGCCTGGGTTGCCTCCTGTTAGGGAGATGGAATTTAGTATTGATCTGGTTCCAGGTGCGGGGCCAGTGTCGGTGGCTCCCTATAGGATGGCTCCTACCGAGATGATTAAGTTGAAAGGTCAGTTGGAAGACCTATTGGAGAAGCAGTTGGTGCGACCGAGCGTTTCACCGTGGGGTGCTCCTGTGTTGTTGGTAAAGAAGAAGGATGGGGGTAGTCGACTTTGTGTGGATTACCGGCAGTTGAACAAGTTGACCATTAAGAACAAATATCCTCTTCCCCGGATAGATGACTTGATGGATCAGCTGAGGGGAGCATCGGTGTTTTCGAAGATCAATTTGAGGTTGGGCTATCACCAGATTAGGGTGAAGGAGGGTGACATACCGAAGACTGCTTTCAGGACTAGGTATGGTCACTATGAGTATGTCGTGATGTCGTTTGGTGTGACTAACGCCCCTGCAGTGTTCATGGACTATATGAACAGGATCTTCTGGCCGTTCTTGGATAAATTCGTGGTGGTGTTCATTGATGATATCTTGATTTATTCAAGGACAAGGGAAGAAACTGCAGAGCCATTGAGGGTGGTGCTAGAGATTTTGAAAGCGAAGCAGCTGTATACTAAGCTTTCAAAATGTGAGTTCTGGTTAGATGAAGTGAAGTTCTTGGGCCACGTGATTTTAGTTGAGGGGATTGCTATTGATCCGGCTAAGGTGGAGTCAGTGTTGCAGTGGGAGCGTCCGAGGACTGTCACTGACATTCGGAGCTTTGTGGGTTTTGCGGGTTACTATCGACGGTTCATTGAAGGATTCTCCAAGATAGTAGCGCCCCTAACCCAGTTGACAAGAAAGGAGCATCCGTTCATTTGGACAGACGCCTGTGAGCGGAGTTTTGAAGAGAAGGTTGACTACTTCTCCTGTGTTGATGTTGCCGGATTCTGGTGAGCCCTTTGATGTGTATTGTGATGCTTCTCACCAGGGTCTTGGGTGTGTGCTGATGCAACACGGGAAAGTGGTGGCCTATGCTTCAAGGCAACTGAAGAACCATGAGAGGAATTATCCCACTCATGACTTGGAGTTGGCAGCTGTTGTTTTTGCCTTGAAGATATGGCGACACTTTTTGTATGGTGCTCGGTTCAGCGTCTTTAGTGACCATAAGAGTCTGAAGTATCTGTTTGATCAAAAGGAGCTAAACATGAGACAGAGACGGTGGATGGAGTTTTTGAATGACTATAATTTCCAGTTGATGTATCATCCTGGTAAGGCCAATGTTGTGGCAGATGCGCTGAGTAGGAAATCCATCCACATGTCGAGTATGATGGTGAGGGAACTGGAGCTGATTGAGGAATTCAGAGATTTGAACCTCGGTGTGGAGTTAGCTCAAGATCACATTAGCTGTGGGACAGTCACCATAACTAATGAGTTCTTGAGGCAGGTTGGACTTAAGCAGTTGCAAGATGCCAAGTTGGTGAAGCTTCTTGGTTTGTTGTGTACCGAGAAGGCTGTTGGCTTCGAACTGGGAGAAGATGGAATCTTGAGGTTCAAGGGCAGAGTCTGCCTACCTCAGGATTGTGAGTTGAAGAAAGCTGTGTTGGAGGAAGGCCATAAGAGTAGAGTTAGCATACACCCGGGTATGACTAAGATGACCAGGACCTCAGGAAGACTTTTTGGTGGCCTGGCATGAAGAGGGAGATAGCTGAGTATGTGGCGGCCTGTTTGACCTGTCAGAAGGCAAAGGTCGAGCATCAGAAGCCGAGTGGATTGATGCAACAGATGGAAATTTCGGAGTGGAAGTGGGATAACATTACTATGGATTTCATTGTTGGGTTGTCTAGGTCAGCTAGGAATAGTGATGCTATCTGGGTGATTGTAGACCGGTTGACCAACTGCGCACATTTCTTGCCTGTCAACATCAAGTGGTCCTTGGAGAAGATGACGCAGTTGGATGTGAAGGAGATAGTACGGTTACAAGGGGTGCCTTCCAGGATTATTTTTGACAGAGATCCAAGGTTCACTTCCAGATTTTGGCAGAGTCTACACCAAGCTCTAGGCACGAAGCTAAAGTTGAGCTCTGCTTATCATCTGCAGACGGATGGTCAGTCAGAAAGGACAATCCAGTCCTTGGAAGATTTTCTTAGGGCTTGTGTGTTAGACCACTTGGGTAACTGGGAAGAGGATCTACCGTTGGTTGAGTTCACCTACAACAACAGTTTTCATGCAAGCATTGGGATGGAACCATTTGAAGCGTTGTATGGCAGGAGATGTAGGACTCCTCTGTGCTGGTATCAGGATGGTGAGTTAGTGGTGGTAGGTCCGGAGCTGATCCTACAGACCATTAAGAAAGTGAAGATGATTCAGGAAAGGATGAAGACTGCTTAGAGTAGGCAGAAGTCGTATGCTGACAAGAGGCAGAAGCCCTTGGAGTTTGCCGAAGGGGAGCATGTGTTTCTGAAGGTGATTCCGACTTCTGGTGTGGGTAGAGCACTAAAGGCAAGGAAGTTGACACCAAGGTTCGTGGGTCCCTATCATATCATACAGCGTGTGGGTCCGGTTGCCTATCGGTTGGCTTTGCCACTGTCCCTTTCAGACCTACACGATGTGTTTCATGTCTCCCAGCTGAGGAAGTATGTCCATGACCCGAGTCATGTGGTGGAGCTAGATGATGTGAAAGTGAAGGAGAATCTGACTTTTGAGAAGTTGCCAGTAGCTGTAGTTGATCATAAGATGAAGGAGCCGAGGGACAAGTCCATTGCTCTGGTAAAAGTGTTGTGGGATGCAGCTACTGGTGAGGCTACTTGGGAGGTGGAGCAGCAGTGCAAAGAGAGGTATCCATTTCTTTTCCCAAGTAAGTCTGTTTTCGGGGACGAAAACTCTTGTTGTTGGGGAGGTTGTGAGATCCTCTCTTTTTTTTTTTTTTTCTTTTTCTTCCCGAATCCTCACTCACTCTCTACCCTTACGTTCTTTTTCTCTCTACTCCTCTCCCCTTTCTTTTGAACTTGCTGACTCTTGTGGGAACCTTGGTTGAAGGTGCTGAATCGTAGTGGGAGGCTAGCTGAAGTTCTCCATCCCCATTTCTCTCCATTCAAGTTTGCTCCTATCTTCTTCTTCGTTTTCTTATTCCTGGAGTACGAAATCTTCTACCAAGGTAAAGGAAGTTAGTTTTGTTGTAGATTTTGGTTGAGAATAGGTTGTTGCAATTTCTTTAGCTGTTGAAGTTGGTTGATATTTGATAATTTTGTTGAAATGCTGAAATTGGAAGTTTTGGGATTCTTTGAGGGTTTGACAAATTTTGGGTCTTTTGGCGGTTGATGATTGCATGTGTGAAAAGTTTAAGTTTTTGAATTCTTGGTTGAAAATGTGAACTGTTGGCTGGATTGCTGGTTGGATTTTCTGGATATTTCGCAGTATTTGGTGAAGTTTTTCGAACTTGATGGGTTGCTGATGAGCCTCGCACTGAGTGCGGTTCTTCGCGCCGGGTGCGAGACCACCTGGAGGCTCCTTTTGACAAGTCCGCCGGGCGCAAAGATGTGTGCGCCGGGCGAGCTTGAGAATGTGAGCCTCTGGTTGGTCCACGCCGGGCGGGTCAGGGATCGCGCCAAGCGCGCAGGCAATGTTTTGGATGTGGTGCTGCGCTGAGCGCGACCCTAGTCGCGCTGGGCGCGAGACTCCTTGGGAGTCTTTGCCAGACGGGCGCTGGGCGCAATTCTAGTTGCACTAGGCGCGAGACCTAAGGGAGGTCTCTGCCTTCCCCGCGCTAGGCGCGGGCCTAGGTGCGCTGGGCGCGTGAAACTCCATGGAGTCTCTGCCTGGCCAGCGCTGGGCGCAATTCTAAATTGCGCCAGGCGCATGAGGGGTCACGCCGGGCACGAACCGTCTTGCGCTGGGCGTGTTGGCCCCTGGTGCTCTCTAGTTGCCTTGCGCTGGGCGCAACCATGAGTGCGCTGGGCGCGTGACTGAGGTTTTATTATATGCTGGTTAATGTTGTTTCATGCTGAGATGAGTCGAAAATGGATGTATATGATGTGATGACTAATAGAGACCGTTGTTGTTGATGTTGAGTTGTATCCGGTGAATGTTGTTGCAAGTTGTGTTGACTCGTTGTAAGAGGATGTGTTGTGCTGTAAATTAGTGTAGTGTTGTATGATGGTTGAGTTGTTGTAGGCCTTAATGGCTGAGTTGTTGTAGGCCATAATGGCTGAGTTGATGTAGGCCGAAAGGCTGAGTTGTCGTAGGAGATCTCCGAGTTGATATGCGTGACGACGCATTGTATGCTTATTGATGATCATGTTGAGAAACCGACGAGATGTATGTTGATGAAGTGTTGATAGTTGTAGTTGCTTATATTTCTTAAACCTTTCTATATGTTGTTTCTTTTATGCTAGCTTACCCTTTTGTTGTTTCCATGTGGTTGGACTGCAATGATCATACTATGTATAGGAGCAGAGCAGGGATAGGCGGTGTATCGGTAGCTGGCAGGTGGAGCTGACTCCTTTTGATGTTTTGTTTGTTTCAGTCACTTGGCATAGTGGCTTTTGATGTAATTTTTGTATTGTACGCCCTAACTGTAGTTGGATTCGGGACATCTGTATATATTTATATTCTAGATCTTATATTTATATACTTGTTTTATTCTGTCTAGTGTTTCCAGTGTGCTATGATTGTGAGTGTAGTGGTCAGCCGGGTCGTTACAAAAATAAATTCAAAATCATATCTTAAAATTATAAATAATTATTATTTTGAAAAGAGTATATGGATCCAAATTTATAAGTTAAAGAATCAAATCAAAATAAATTTTAAAAATAAAATAAAGAACAAAAGTTTAATTTAGAAAAAAAAAATAATGATCTTCAATAGAATTTTTC